GTAGGTGGTCACTTACCTTGGAAAAATTGACTATTAAAACTTGTCAAATACAGATGAAAAGTTTAAGCTGCCACTTTACTGATACTAGTTAGCTGCTTAATAGAAGGGAAACCTCCACAATAAAATACCTTCAGATTGTTTTGTAAATTTATAGGGTTGTGGTTCAAATCATGGGTTTTGGAGTCTCTCTTTAGACAAATTACTTAACCTGTCAATGCTTAGTCCCCTCATATATAAAAGCAGCTAACAAGAGTAATATCTTACCAAATAGCATTGTAATGTGTGAGAATGCACTTACTAAAACTACAAATGATTTTTTAGAGTGGTTTGAAAGTTATGATCACAGAGGATGCAGTCTAAGAAACATTACCCAATAAAATGTACAGACTTTGTTTGGATCCCAGTGTGAACAAACTATAAAACTTTTGAGCCAGTGGGGGAAATTTGAGCACCAACTGGATATTTAATACTAAGGAATTACTAATTTATGTATGACATTGGTACTATGGTTATATGTGTGTTCTAAGAACCCTTATCTTACAGAGATACATACTAAAATATTACAGACATAATGATGTCTGGGACTTGCTTTAAAATGCAATGAGACAGGGAAGGTAGTATGGTTATGGACAAAAGAATGACCATGAGTTGATGCAGCTGGTGAAAGAGAAAATTACCAGCCGACACAGATAGTCCTGTTACTCTTACAAAAAGCTAGTAAATTTATACAGAGCTAATCCAGAAGATTGGCCTTGCCCCACAGGTGTCTTTCTGGTAAAAGTAGCCAAATATGTTGCTTTTAATTCAGCCATCAGGTTAAACACACACACTTTGTATGCAGCCTATGAAAACAGGCTGCTGATCAAGTGATGAGATACAGGGCTCAGGGAGGACACTCACTCCTTTATCTAATTTGACTCATGCTGTACCCACCTCTCCATCAGAGATTATCCATTTGAGTGAAATGACCTAGGAGAATGGGCATAGGAAGGATTCAAGTTCCTTCCTTGTTCAAGAGTACATGGTTCTTAAAATAGCAGACGTAAGATGAAATCAAGTCTACTAGGTCAACAACAAAGTGGGGGTTCTGATAAAGCTCAGGGCCCTTAGAAGCAACCAGGAGTGAGAGAGATGGCTGGAGAGTGATAGTGTGAGCAGTGCATAGCTTGGAGTCTTACCACGCCCTTTCAATACCTGACACACAAAGTGCTCCATTAGAAAAAGAGGGATTTAAGTGTGTGTTGAACTCACATTTTGACTAGGTTCTATATAATGGGAACTGACAAAGATGAAACAAAGATTGCCCCAAAACGGATGTAGCAAACCAAATCACAGCAGAGGAAGCCAGTTAAACCTCTGAGCACTCAGCTAGCTGTTTCTGACCACACACTTACTCTTCCCCACTCAGCTTCAGAAGGAAGCAACTGAAAATAAAAGCAGCCTTTACCTAGGAACTTACTCTAAAGAGCAACTTGAGCTCAATACCACGTTAAGTTCGGTGAACAATCCCCTTAATGTGTTTAGACTGCGGTTATTATTGATTACTGCAGTTAAGAATGATAACCCTAAGGCTCTGAATGACTGTCAATCATTAGGACTGTATTTAACTAAAGCAAAAAAAAATTGGCTTCTACCTTTTTTTAGAACATTCATGAAAAAATATAGCTTAAATCCAAAAGGCTTCACACACTGACAGACCCTCAGAAATCCAGAATAGCCTTGTTAACTGAAGTTTCACCATACCAAAAAATATTTCAATCTCGGGGGGGGGGGGGTTGTTTTAAATAAAAGCAGTGTTTATTAGGAAAACTAAAATGATTGTATATTAACGAACAGATATGCAGTACAGGATTCAAAAATTCCGGGGGGGGGGGGGGGTGTTGTTTTAAATAAAAGCAGTGTTTATTAGGAAAACTAAAATGATTGTATATTAACGAACAGATATGCAGTACAGGATTCAAAAATTCCCTTTCTGATGACCTTCGAGAGACTTGGATTCATTTTTATGCACCTTGTTCTTTCCTCAGACCTGGAAAAAATAAACCACCTATGTTTCAACAAGTAATGAGTTTTCCCTTTTCCGTGTACAGGAATCCTTATAATCACTCAGACAGTTCCTTCTGGAACATTCCCTCTTCTTCCCCAGCCAGCCCCAGTGGGTACACCATTACAGGCTCTGGGACTAGGACAGTCAATCTTTGTTATAGAAAAAAAGTATATTTGGGGCCGGCCCGGTGGCGCACTGGATAAGTGCACCGCTTGGGAAGCGCGGCGGCGCTCCCGCCCGAGGGTTCGGATCCCACATGCAGACTGGTTCCCGCTCACTGGCTGAGCGAGGCGCGGGACCAACGCCGAGGGTTGCGATCCCGTTGCCGGTCCCCGGTCCGGTATGGGGGCAACACTGAGGGTTGCGATCTGTTGCCGGACACGGAAAAAGACAAAAGACAAAAAAAAAGAAAAAAGTATATTTGGTTTAAAGACATAAACTCAGGTGGCAGAGATGTAGGTGATAATCACAGAATTTCAAACTTACCTTCTCCATCTTGCTGCCTATTTCTATATATTAGAACAAGTTTATTCAGTTTTTTGGAACAACTAATTACACCTAGTACGTGATACTTTTCACCACAACTACCTCTGACAAAATGCTGTGAGCAAAGCTGATTTCACCAGTCTCAAGTGGACCAAATACAGCAGTTTCCTAGCCTACCATGTCTTAGAATATTTTCACAGGACTGCCTTTAAAACAATGATGATGGACTTTATGTTCCTCCACTGCTTCTTACTTCTCTGACTTAAAACATCAGACTTCTTGCTGAAAGAGCAACAGGGCAACACATACTTGTTCATTCAACCATCATTTATTGTTTGTGTGCAAGGCACTGAGGTGCCAGGAGAAGGAACATACAAATATGAATAAGAGTGTACTCTGCTCTCCAGGAGCATACAACTTAGTAGGATGGATTAAGTGCATAAAAATAACTATAATACCAGACAGACAGTGGTAAGTGCCACAGAAGACAAAGTACCATGGGAAGCTTTCTTAGCTCTCAACTTCAAAGAAAGACCAGGTCCAGGGAAGCAGATGTAGACTTATTCCTAACTCCACTGTCATCTGTGTGGCTGGTGTGAAAAGGCAGCTGAGCAAGGCCTGCTAGACTCTGAAGAACTGAGCTGCATCTTGGATCTTGCTTCCATAGCTCTCTCAGCTGAGGTTCCACTGATTGGCAAGGGCACCTGCTACCACTGAAAGGATGGAAGGAAAATGACAACACAGAGATAAAAAATACACACACAGGAGCACCCCATGGTAGTCTGCACTGATGAGGTCCTGGGTACTGCCTTTATAGAGATACAGGGAAGAGGAATTTAGGTAAGGGAGAAAGAACTCTGGACTAAACATCAGGATTTCAGATGCTCACAGTTTTGAGACCTCAGGCAATCTCTAGACCTTAGTTCTCTTTCTGGTTAGCAAAGTTGGTTAGAGGCTGCCTTGTAACACCAAAGCCAAGGGTTCAGATCCCCGTACCAGCCAGTCAACAAAAGAAAAAAAAGATGAAGTTAGATTAAATGATCTCTGAGGTCCTCTGCAACTCTCCAATCAATGAAAAGCATAGAAAATTAGCCTTTAGCATCTTAACCACAGCTTTTTTAAAGTCAGTGCCTTTCCCCCTTTTTTATAATTTGTAGAAGAGCTCCTAAAAAATTAAAATCTACAGTGAGCCCCACCTTTCCTGGCTTTGATATCAGTAATGCAAAAAAGGGTTTTTCTTTTTAACCACAGTAATGTTTCAGAAGTAAAACACTCCTGTCCTTTGTTATAAACAAGGCACCTTTGATTTGCTCAGCCTCAGCAACTTATGCCTCGTTATACGTAAACGGGCAGCTGAAAGGCTCAGCTCTCTCAACTACATGGGTTTCTATTTTGGTTATTAAGAATAGGTCAAAAGTCCACCACCACCACCTTTGAGTTTCTTTAAGTAGCTTCTGTCTCAGTTGTAACGATTTAAGTTCTCCAACAGCTTCATTGCTTTAAAAGCTTGAGCAGAACATTTGGAGGCACTGCAAGTTGGGGATGGGGGGGGGTGTGCAGCAAAGGGAAGGAACTGTTTTTTAAAGAGAAGGTGCCTCAGAGGGAAAAGGTAAGAAAAAAACATGCAAGTAAAGTAACTTCTATCTTACAGCTTCTTGGCCCTTTGCCTGGCAGAAATAAGATTACAAGGAGCAATTTCTCCCAAAGAGGAGGAAAGAACCAAGTTTATTTTGCCTACCATTTCATCTGTTCCTTTCTTGTGTTGCCAGAGCACTCACTACTTCCGTTCCTGAAGCGTGGTCTATCTGTAGAGGGAATTTAACTCAGTGGCTCCCTTGCTTCTGCCAAGGCTAGACCTAGTCCAGGGCCAAAAGGACATGCAACTTCTAATCTTCTAAGGACCACACACCTTATTTAGCCACCCAATTCTGTCTCATCAGAGTGAATAATCCCTTTGGACTCTGCCATAAAACACAGCCATGTTTTGCCTAAATGCCAATGCTTAAGATAGCAACATTAAAGCACAAACCTAGGACTGAGGATAAACTGCCAGATTCACTTTAACCTGCAAGCGTTGGCAAACGGAGCCAAGGAGGTTAACTGCTCTCATCAACAGCAAGAGTTTACAAATATAGTCCAAGGAACCAAGTTTGTTTGGATATTGCTATGTCCATGAAATGGCTTATATTGGGTCTCCCAATTCACAAAGTAATCAGTGCAGAAGGGCTGTAGGTAACCTGGCACTAAGAAGAGAACAGGCTCAATATTAGTGACATAATCCTGCTTCTAATCTGATGAGCATCTTCTACCAGATCACCTCTCCAAACCCCCTAAAACATATATCAGAGAGATCAAATACAATTGGAACAATTACAATACAAAAACAAGACCTGGCAAGAACCAGTGGAACTGTATGGGTGTGGGATGACTGTGCAGTGACTTCTAAATGAAAGCTCTTGATAAAATCTTGCTTTTTTTGATTTATTTTTCCTTTCTATAAGCAGGAATTACATTGTACCTGGGCAAATGGCTGATAACGTTTCACAAATTCTACAAAGAAAAAGATATATTTTGAAATGTCATCTTCTGTTAACATTCTTATGAAAAGATTTTTAGCTGACATAGTCCTTTTAGTCCCATAAATCTTTATACCATATTAAGTATATGAAGGTGCCACAATATAGGCAAAAAAGATAACTTTCTTTTGTCCAGATTAACGGTGTTGATTTGTAATCTGACTTTTCATTAGTCCTAAAGAGCAGCTTTGCTCATCTATTAAATTCTCCCTTTAAGTTGCATCCTTTACTACTTTGGCATGCACGGCTGGGTTGGCAGTCCTGTTCCTACATACAAATAACCATCTTCAACATACAGATGATGAAAAACACCTCCATGTGTTGGGGTTCAGGCTAAAGTTGAGAACCAGAAATCTATAAAAACTCAACTCATGTTTTTTAAATACTTTATATGGTAAAAATACAGCAAAAATAGTTTTTTATTCAAAGAGGAAAATATATACTGCTATGGTCACAGTTCTAAGGATGATTTAAGTAGTCTCTGGCTCCTCAACTGTGTACTGTAGTGTAGGGTGACTTCAACCACGGCTTCTCCAGCTTCAGTCATTTATCAAAGCTAAAATCATACTGTGGAAAGAAGAAATTAACGTTACTAATATTTCCTTACAAATGTTCCTACAGAGTCTGGTCTGTCCAGACTTGTATAAATAAGGGTCATCAAGGAACACTCATTTAAGTCAAAAACAATCATTTACACCTAAAGGAAAGAACATCTATATTAAGACCGCTCAATGTCTTATTTTTTCACTAAAAAAAGGGTTACTGGCAATAGCGGTGAGGGGGAGTATAACTTAAAACTAATGTTGGGCCATAGTTTAAAAAAAAAAATAAGCTATGTCCAGAAAAATAAACTTTTAATTCTCTAGCCAGATCTTTGCACATACTGTTGCTATACTATGCCGGAAATCCCTCCTCCCCATCCCACTCCCATCAACCCAGTAAATTTCTTTTTTTGTCTTTTTTTTTTTTTCGTGACCGGCAACGGATCGCAACCCTCAGTGTTGTGCCCATACCGGACCGGGACCGGCAACGGGATCGCAACCCTCGGTGTTGCTCCCGCACCTCGCTCAGCCAGTGAGCGGCCGGTCTGTATATGGGATCCGAACCCTCGGCGGGAGCGCCGCCGCACCTCCCAAGCGGCGTACTGTAGCAGTGCGCCACCGGGCCGGCCCTAACCCAGTAAATTTCTACTTAGGCTTCATGACTAGGCTCTCAGCCGCCTCTTTTGGGAAGCCAGACTCAGGCCAGGGCAGTTGCACAGCCTCCTTCCACAGCTCTTCATCTTCCTGCATGCTCTGGCTTCCATGGGGGTTTCTACCACCAGATTGTGAGGTCTGCTGAGACGAGAGCAGGGTCCAGGCATCACTGCTTTCATGTTCTAATATATTAACACCCCAGAACTGCAATTACCAAGCTCCAAGCTTTTACTGTAGAGATTTTGTGCTGCACCTTTGTGTCATTTGAAGTGCCTTACACAGTGTCTGACACATAGCAGTCACCCAATAAACACTCTATTAAAACTACCACAAACAATAACAAAATCATCCTTTCCTTTTAAATACCAGAATCAGCCTTGCTCTGCTGAGATCTGTGACTAAAATACACAGAAATACCCTTGCGTTACTAATGGTATAAGTGATTGGTTGTCCAAATTTAGCCATACTAAATGTACTAAGTCCACAACACAGAGCAGCAGTAGTCGCTAATACATTTTTCTTTTTTTTGGTGCGAAGTTAATTTTATTAAACCTTACAATGAATGTTGATATCATTTTTCATTATGTGACAATTTATTGGCTGGCATCTGAATACAGTAATTTTTTTGAAACAATGGGACTGACAAAAGGGTCAGAAACTAGTTTAGTAATATATGAGGGCAAAAATAGAAAAAAGAAAAAAAGAAAAGGATGACAACCAACTAACTTTAGTTTCCATGGTACCTAACTCTAAAACGGCTAAGGTTCCAAGCAAAAATGCTGCTGTTACAGTGTACAAGAATATGTTATCATCATCTCATCCAGCCCATACAATTCTGAGAAAATTAATTACAAGATTTTGCCCAAAAATTCAGCCTTAGATTTCTGCTGGGCCTCAGACACTGTTAGTGCCTTCATCAAAAAGTATTCCCAAAATTGTAAAGACTGAATAAAATACCTAAATTTGTGTTACTTTTGCAACTACATATGAGTAAATTTAATACTTATTAAGCTAACTGTACTCATTTGAACTGAACTAAACTGTACACTGTAGCCTGGTGGTGTTGGCTGAAGTTAACTTGTAAGTTTTGATTACATTTCTACAAAAATGCCCTGTTGTGGCCTGCTGGATTTTGGATGTTCCACTATTTTGATCATTTCTGTAAAAGAAATGGTCATTTAACTCAGATTAGATACGAGTCTACTTTATGAAGACAACTGGACTATAGATTTTTAAACAGTCATTTTTCTTATCCATAAATCTGACAGGCATAAGCCGAAATCAGCAAAGACAATTTGGTGCCTTTTTTGATTCTGAAGCAAGTGATTGCTCACTTGTAAAGTGTAATACCTTAATGTGTAATATTTTACAGACTCCCATGTACGGTGACTTGGGAAAATTGTTTAGGTAGTAGCTAATATTTTTGAAAGATTTTTGAGAGTTTACTATAGGTCAGCATAAACCTAAGTGCTTTACGTGTATTACATCTCAGTCCATATAACTTGATGAGGTAGGTTATTATAAATATCCCATTTTCAGATGAGAAACTGAAGGAAACACAGTTAAGAAACTAGCCCCAGGTCACACAGTAAGTGGTGGAGTTCAGATTCTGCTAAGCTAGCCCCTAACCAAAAAACCAAAAGCATAGATTCCACCAGTCTCTAAAGAAGTTGAGCATTCTTTCACAACATTAATTCTATTTAATAAGCTTTGCATGTCTCCTATGTGCAAGGTAACATGCAAGGTGTGGCAGGCACAAAGAAATCATCCTTCACATGGATCAAGCACAACTGTGCAAGGACTTTCAGGGTAAAGGGAGGTAGAAGACGGAAAAGGAATAAAAATTCTGCACTATTCTGTGACAAATCAAATTTTAAAAGATCTGGCACTTTCTTAAACTTTAAAAAACCCCAGAATACCCCCAAATACCTGAATTGTTAAGGAAAATGTGTTTTCCGAACACACACGTAATTCCACATTTTCCTGCCCTGCTCCTTAAGCCCCTTTCCTTCCCCTGCCCATGTGTCTCTCAGGCTCCAGCATCACCAGCATCACTTCTCTACTGTTTCTCATGCTCCTTAAGGCAGAATTCCTAACCCCTTGCCAGCCGTCACAGTACTTGAGGCAACACAGAAACCAGGCAGGATCAGATCACAGGGTGTAGAGGGAGAAAAAGAAAAGGTGTGGCATGCAAGAGATACAAAGAGGAGCAGCATAAAATCCTTGCAATCAAAAGCTGTTGATTTGGTAATAAAATTACTTTAAAAAACAGCAACCAAAAGCCAAGAGAAAGGTGTTACAAGACATCTGAGACTGCTCTTTCATCCTGACCCCTTGAACTATGAGTGATGCCAAGGGGTAAGGGTAATAGCAATGTGGGTGAAGATGACAAGCTGAAAAAGGAGGGGAAGGGAAGAGAGATGGAAGGAAAGGATGCACCAAAATGAGGAATGCGGCTGCCCAGGCAAACCAGTGACATAGGGTGCCTATCTTACTTAGTCGTAAAGAACCATACCCTAAACCTGCTCCCAAATTGCTTCTTGATTCCTCCAGTCCATCTTCCCATTACTTTAAATTCGACAACTGAGAGCTCAGAAACTCTTATGCATCTTTAAATCCTAAGACTTCAAGTCTACTAAGCAAGATACTGCTCCCCAATCCTGCATTTACTCCCCAAAGTGTGACTGCACAGTCTGTACCTACAGCACTACCCTAAGAAAGCTCATGTTACCAAGACCCAGACAATGTCTGCTTTGGTTTACAGCAAAAAACCTGTAGAGGTGGGGAGGGTGAAGAAAGGATAATCTTAGCTAGTTGATACTAGCTTATTTTTTGTCTCTTCAGAAATAGACAAATATAAGAGAACATATATGATGGTAAAGATACTTTCATATTATTTGACCTAAAAAAGAAATAAAAGTGGGAAGAGGTATATCATTATGTTCTTAATATTAAATTTCTATGCTCTTTATTCATCTTCTTTTTTTCCTTTTTGTCTTTTTTACTGACCAGTAACGGGATCGCAACCCTCGGTGTCGCGCCCGCACCACGCTCAGCCAGTGAGTGGGAACCGGTCTCCACATGGGATCCGAACCCTCGGCGGGAGCGCTACCACGCTCCCAAGCGGCGCACTCTCCAGTGCGCCACCGGGCCGGCCCTCTTTATTCATCTTTAATACTTGGATTAAAAATTAAGCACATTAGCACTGAGGTCAGGTATGAGAATAAGAGATTGATACTGGTGTGCTATTTCTGTCCTAGTTTTTAAAATACAGAAAAGCAAATAAGATGAATGGTGATCCTGGTATAGAGTTTGGGGTGGGGGTGGGGTGGGGTGAATGGTGAAGAGGAAACCATCTAAACCCTAATTTTAATCTAATCTACACTACTGGGTGGATTTAGCACAGTGGAAGGATTGTCAGGCAGATGCTAAATAAAATGGATCTGATTCTAAACTATTTCAGACAAAATAGCAATTTTTAAAAACTGCTATTTCTATATAGTCTCCAATCACTAGGAATCTTCTGAGTGGTAAAAGTTAAAATAAGTACAGGTTTTTCCTAATTATGCCTATGTGAAAAATTAAAATTTACTTAGGAAAAAAAAATAGGAATGATCTAGTTAAAGCTTTGACACAAAGGTCAACCTGTCTTCCAGCTTCTTAAAGGTTTTATCGGGGCCGGCCCGGTGGCGCACTGGATAGTGCGCCGCTTGGGAAGCGTGGCGGCGCTCCCGCCCGAGGGTTCGGATCCCACATACAGACCGGTTCCCGCTCACTGGCTGAGCGAGGCGCGGGAGCAACACCGAGGGTTGCGATCCCGTTGCCGGTCCCCGGTCCGGTACGGGGGCAACACTGAGGGTTGCGATCCGTTGCTGGACACGGAAAAAGACAAAAGACAAAAAAAAAAAAAAAAAAAAAAGGTTTTATCGAATCATATACACGTGAATATGTTTTCTCTCCTTTGCTCTATTCTAAGGGTCTATGATGGACAAAGGAAAAGGCAGCATGTTCATCTCTAAAACACAAGGAATAAATTTAAGTTTAAAACAGGACTACATAAGGTGTCCAGTATCTGACAGACAATCTTCATATTAATTCTTATTTCCAATGTGTTATAACTGGAAGACTGATGCAATTTTACCAGAACAGATCACTTAGCGTGCTGGAGAATCAGCATTACACCTAAATCCCTAAATGCCAAGAAAGAACAGCCCAATTTGGATACAAGTTGTTGAGAGCTGCTGCCAGTGGTAGGATCCCCAGAGACCCATGCAGTGGAACCTCACAGCTAGATACTAGGCCAGAAAAAGAATAGCAAAGACAATCTTAAGCATGTTGACAGCCTCAACAGCTAAAGAATAACTGAGACACTGCAGAGTAACTCTACTGTAGGTCAGACATGCTGATTCAGTGATATACATGAAAAACCTACATAGCCACAAGAAATTCACATATACCCAAAAGACCTGCAACATCAATGCAAAATCCCCATAGTAATATCTCATCCACAGAAGTAGACGTGGCATCTAGGAAAATGCCAGGAGTTTAAAAAAAAAAAAAACAACTCACCTATAAAGATACATGAAGAAACAGAGCAAGTGGAAACCAAGCTTGATCATGGCTTCTTTCATGTGTGACTTCAGCTGCCCTCGATTGTGTATTTCTGTTGGATCAAACACTCCCATGTTACCACTTGGCACCATAATGAACCTGATAAATTAAAGGATACACACATTGGAAGGAAAATCAAATCATCAACATAAATAGTCAAAAACCAATATAAGTAACCAATAATAATTAACCTTTAAAAGTGAAGCAATCACAGAAGCCTTAAATTCAGACCAAATATGAACAGAGTAATATGATGATGTCATGCACTACTACTTAGTTTTCTTCTGGAAGTTATAAAACTGTTAATTTTTGGTATGATTTTGTGCCCTCTGAAACAAAAACAGTAACATTCCAGAGAAGGATATTTGAGACTCTTATCTATCTTCTGTAGAAAACTACCAAGCTAGCCCTTTTCCATTACACACAGGTTAAAGGAGGCTCCAAAGCTCAGTGGGTGAGAGCACAGTGTTATAACACCAAGGTCAAGGGTTCAGATCCCCATACTGGGCAGCCACCCCACCCTACCCACCCCCCCAAAAAAGAGAAGCTCCAAAACCAAACCAATTTTATCAAGTTCTTAGAAACTTCTTTAGAAAAATGGGGAAATTAAGTAAATTGAGTTACTTTGAGAGGATCAATGAGTTTAAGTGTCTGGGCTTCAATATCCAAGCTGTGCCATTTGTGTATTTACTTGCCCTAACTTAGCATTGGTCATGACCTCTTCCTGCTCTCAGGTCTAAGCTTCCTCCCGTACTACCTTGGGTTTCTCACCCTTGCCACACAGTTTCTCAGTTGGCACTTCTGTGAAATGCAAAGGCCTCTCTGAGTTCCTAAAATATTAAATTCTCTTCCAAATTCTAGTAGCCCATCTATAGCTGAATAGAAGGTATTTTCATTTGAATATCCAGATAACATCTCCAAATAGTCTCAGTCTTATCCTCTGACTTGTAGGTGATGGAATGAGAGTGTCAACATTTCCTTAGTGGTCCTAAAAAATTTCCTCTTACCCAATTCTGACTTCTGTCTTTCTCATCTTTCATAGCCAGTCCATTAAACTCTTGTCTATTCTTTCTTACTACCACCAACTATGTAGTCGTCTCATTTTTATTCCCACTATCACAACCCTTTTCCAGCACTATGTTACTGACTCCTGGTCTCTGAACTGGTTTCCCTACCTCCCGGCTCTTCTCCATCCAATCATTACTACACAATGCTTCCAGAAAAATCTTCCCAAAGCATAATTCATTTTATGTCAACTTAGCTGCTTGAAAACATATAAAGCAAGGAAGATATATGAACAACTAATAATCAAATTAAAAGATATTCAATATCATTAGTCATTAAGGAAATGTGAATTGAAGCCACAGTGAGATACCCACTCCACACCCAATAGTATGGCTAACACAAAAAAGACACAAAATAACAAGTGCTGGCAAGGATGTAGAGAAATTAGAACCCTCACACACAGTTGGCGAGAATGTAAAATAGCACAGCTCCTTTTGAAAACACTCAGGCAGTTCTTCAAAAGATGAAATATCAAGCTATCATATGACTCAGTAATTCCACTCCTAGGTATCTACCCAAGAGAAATGAAAATATGTCTATACAAAAACTTGCACATGAATGTTCTAGGACAATTAATCATAATAGGCAAAAAGTGGAAACAACCCAAATGCCCATCAATTACAAATGGATAAACAAAATGTGGTATATTCACACAATGAAATATTATTCAGCAATAAAAAAGAATGAAGTACTAATACATGCTACAACATGGATGAACTTTGAAATGTTATGGTAAGTGAAAGAGGCCAGTCATAAAAGAGCGCATATTGATCCCCTTTATATGATATGTATGTTCAGAATAGGTAAGATTTAGAGACAATATAGAATGGTGGCTGCCTGCAGCTAGGGAGGACAGGGAGTAGGGACAACTGCTAATGGGTTTGGGGCTTCTTTTTGGGTGATAAGAATGTTCTAAAATAGACTGTGGTGATGGTTGCATAAAACTATAAATATGGTAAAAACATATTGATAGTACACTTAAAATGGGTGGATTTTATGCTACCAGGAGCCACATTTATATATAAACTCGTTGGACCAGCATTCAAGATTCTCTGTGACCCACCCAAACTGACTTTTCCAGCTTCGTCTATTACCAGTCCTCCATCTACATAATTTCAGCCTAATGGTCCTTCACTATCCCTTGTGTTTGTACAAGCCTTCCCTTCTACCTCTCCCCTTATTCTTTGAACACGGGGGAATTCTCATCCCCACTCCTCTCTGTCAAAGCTCTTCCATCCTATGAGGCTCTGCTCAGACACCACTGCCTCTTTGAAACTCTTCCAGTAATCCAACTTTCCTCCCAACCCATAAACCCTTAGTATCCTCATTATTCATCTGGCAACTACTTTACACTTGCCTTAGGACAACCCTTATTTAACTAGCATATTTTGTTATTCAATGTTCTGCCTCTTTGTCCTGATAGAGTCCATTTCATATATGTCTGTAGACCCAATAGCATGAAGTACAGTGGTCTGAAAAGAACAAAAGATCAATCTATTGATTTTTTTTAACCTTTTTAAATAGGAGGTAAGCATGTACCCAGCAGACAGAGACTATCACTTTAGTTATCAGGGCAATAAATACACATGATCTTTATTTCATAATTATAGGAAAATGGAATCACTGGACTTGATTGACTTCATAGAGCCTTCTATCACAGTCTTTACTATATAAAAAAATTATGCCAAACCTTCTTCTTCCTCTAGCACATTTTTAATTCTAGTAGATATGACTGACAGTGTGGTCTGGGATATCATTAAGATCCACCGTCTTAGAGGTTCCAGTCGCCACTCTCACTCCCAAATTTGTGTTTCATTTAGTGGGACCACAGGGAGACTTAGCTGTATTAAAAGTCTTCACGGGACTGGCCCTCACCAGAAGTGTAAGGAATCTGTGTTCCTCCCAGCACTGAACTCAGGTTAGGGTATTGGTCTACGAAACTGATCACAGGAGAACAATAAGAAACTTAAAAGAAAAAAAAAAAAAATTCTACCCCAGGAGACCTACCCTCTAGAAAAGAGGTACAGAGATTTAAAAATTTTTCCCTAGCTCAGGTTCTAGTCTCATGATCTTTACAAGATCATTCTCCCAAATCCACTCCTTCCCTCATCTCTACTGCCTTACATTATCTTTTCATGTGCTTCCTATCCTCCTCCAGCCCTTTTTCTCTTCTGTCCTTTTTATTCTAACTGGACTTTACAACATCATGCTTAAAAATCAGCCAATGAGTAGTTTTACGCAAAAAACTTAGACACACGTAAAATTAAAATAAAACTTTAAAATGTAGTAGAACAGCAATCCATTAACATAAAAATAATTCCAGGCTTGTCAAGATTATTTCACAGCTCTTCACAAGAAAACGTTATGTACAATAGCCCAACTATAAAATTATATCCAATTAGTGCTTCCATTGAGCTATTTTTGAACAACCTTCCTAAATTAAGTGAAAAATTTTGATAAGTTACCTAATTTGCAGGCTTTAAAATGTAATTTTCTTTGGAGTATTCCAAGTTCACGATAATTAAAAACTGCAGATGTAAACAACAAGGGCCTTATATCCTCAGGCTTTTGACCATTCTTAAAGGAAAATAATATTTAAGGCAATAAAAAAAAACACTTCGAGGGCCGGCCCGGTGGCACACTGGAGAGTGCGCCGCTTGGGAGCGCGGCGCCGCTCCCGCCAAGGGTTCGGATCCCACGTGGAGACCGGTTCCCGCTCACTGGCTGAGCGCAGTGCGGGCGCAACACCGAGGGTTGCGATCCCATTACCGGTCAGTAAAAAAGACAAAAAGGAAAAAAAAAAACACTTCGAGGGCCGAGCCCATGGTGCACTCGGGAGAGTGCGGCGCTGGGAACGCAGCGACGCTCCTGCTGCGGGTTCGGATCCTACATAGGGATGGCCAGTGCGCTCACTGGCTGAGCACGGTGTGGGCGACACCACACCAAGGGTTGCGATCCCCTTACCCGTCACAAAAAAGACAAAAAAAAAAAAACCACTTCAAAAGTCTTTAGACATCACAACATTACATATTTTATAAATTTATACATGTAAATTTATGTTTTTACTACAAGACTGAACCACGCAAATTGCCATCTGCCCAGTATGCCAACATGAACAAAAATTTATGCTGATTTAATGAAGCATTCTGCAGTTCTTTATTTTACTACTGTGTTTTACGGAAAAAAGAAGAGGCTGTTAAAATGTTTTTTAAAATTTAACTGCCCTTACACAAAACAGTAAACAAACTTACTTACCGATATATATTCCAAGTGGCAACCGGTAAGTTGAGAAGGAAGATGAACCAGTGCAATGAAACAAGCATTAACATAGTAACGATGGTATGGCCAATCAATTCTGGAATTACCCACTGCAAGGAGAGAACATAGTATTACATCTCACGGCTATGTCCTTCCTCATGTATATGTTATTTGAAGCTAAATCAATGAATATACAAAGTACTTATAAGCTACTGTTTCCAAGATTATTTTTAGACTCAGATGTCCCAGATTTGCTTACTGCTGTAACTGCTTACTCCGTGCAAATACACCAAGGCATGGCTTATAAATAAAGCACTTAAATTTCAATTACGTTTTATCCTAAACAAAGGCTTAGATTCATTCACTAAGAAAGTTTGAATGACAACTAGGGAAAAAATGGAGTATTATTTACTTTCTATTCCAATATCTACACTAAAGCCTCTTACTGTAATTGGGATGGTTTACATCTATATGCATCCTGCCTTTCAAGTCAAAACATCAGGGCCAGCCCGGTGGCGTACTCGGTAGAGTGCGGCGCTTGGGAGCACGGCGGCGCTCCCGCCGAGGGTTCGGATCCAATATAGAGACCAGTCTGCTCACTGGTTGAGCGCGGTGCGGGTGCGACACCGAGGGTTGCGATCCCGTTACCGGTCACGAAAAAAGACAAAAAGGAAAAAAAAAAAAATCAATCTTAAGCATTTCCCAATATCCAGAATCCTGTAGATCCATTTCATATTCAGAATAAAAAAAAAATTTTAGGGCCGACCCCGTGGCGCACTCAGGAGAGTGCAGCGCTGGGAGCGCAGCAGCGCTCCCGCCACGGGTTCGGATCCTATATAGGGATGGCCAGTCTGCTCACTGGCTGAGCGCAGTGCGGCCGGTCACAAAAAAGAATTAAAAAAAATTTTTTTTAAAGTAACAGCTCAAAGATGCCCAAATATGGGCCGGCCCGGTGGCGCACTGGAGAGTGCGCCGCTTGGGAGCGCGGCGGCGCTCCCGCCAAGGGTTCGGATCCCATGTGGAGACCGGTTCCCGCTCACTGGCTGAGCGCGGTGCGGGCGCAACACCGAGGGTTGCGATCCCGTTGCCGGTCCCCGGTACGGGCGCGACACCGAGGGTTGCAATCCCATTGCCGGTCCCCGGTACAGGCGCAACACCAAGGGTTGCCATCCCGTTACCGGTCAGTAAAAAAGACAAAAGGGGGAAAAAAAAAAAAAAGATGCCCAAATATAATGAACCAGGATGCCAGAATCCTGGACTTTGTAGGGGCCTATGCCCTTTTCTATGCTCTTTGTTCACTACGTAATTTTCTAGTTCTCATGAATCAACATCTATTGTGGCAGGATTCTCAACTCATTAATAGTCTTCCTCTCCTATGAGTACAGATTTTTCTTTTAATGTTAATTCCTTTAGTAGAACTTAGCTTTTAATGAAAGAAACTGGTATTCCCCACTTTCAGAAATGAGGAAAACAAAACTCAGAAAGATTAGGTAAATCCTCCGAGCTCACACAGCTACACAGCAGCAGAGCAATATAGTGTAAACCCAGGCACAGTGTAGCTTGCATTTAGATTTCAGATATTTTTTGGAAACAAAGTAGTAGAGATTTTCTGGGCCTTAAACCTAACTTGCACTCAATTGGAACTTTCCCATATGTAATATTCATTTCAAAAAGTGTAACCAATTTAGTATAATGCTTACAAGTGTGAGCTGCAAAGTCAAACAAGCCTAGAATGGAATGCATGCTATGTCCTATTTATTAGCTGTGCAATCTTGGGAAAAGTTACCTACTCTGTGTATGCCACAATTTTCTCATCTATAAAATGGAGATAATACCTACCTTAAGAAGTTGTTGTAGAAAATTAGATGAAATAACATATGTAAGCCACATGCACAGTAAGTACTCAAAAAAATGTTAGCTGTTGGGGCTGGCCCGGTGGCGCACTGCGCTAGTGCGCCGCTTGGGGAAGCGCGGCGGCGCTCCCGTCGAGGGTTCGGATCCCACATACAGACCGGTTCCCGCTCACTGGCTGAGCGAGGCGCGGGGGCAACACCGAGGGTTGCGATCCCGTTGCCGGTCCCGGTCCGGTACGGGGGCAACACTGAGGGTTGCGAACCGTTGCCGGACATGGAAAAAGACAAAAAAAAAAAAAAATGTTAGCTGTTGTTACTACTACTTTCCAAGCTATCAGACACTACAGCAGTAGCTTCCAGACTTTGGATTTCTCAATGTGGGCCACAGTCATCTTTGTTTTACACAGACACATGAGTTTCAGGAAGTGTTACTTAACCTCATGATGTTTGGTTTACTGACTTCCGACCAAGCCCTTTGTTTTCTGTCTCTTCCCTCCTTAATGATATGTTCATCCCCTAACTTGTCAGAACACTGGCCCTAGGGCTTATATACCCCAGGCAGGAACTTACAGTATCCTTCTCTGGAGTAACTTAAGTAGCTCAAGAGAAAATACCTACAAAACCCAGCTATTTTAAGTACCCAACAAGAGTCCAAGTAGCCACCAATTACCCTACAGAGAAGTATACTAATCAACTAACAAGCCTAGACCACCCAAGAAGCTTTCAATGAGCACTGTACTGCTTTACCCTTAAATACAGATAGCCATATATCAGAAATTTGAGAAAAGCCTCAAAAATGAAAGAAAGAGGGAGGAAAAAAACAAAGGGAAAGGAACTTGGAGGAAACATATAATGTAGGAAGCTCAAGAAAATTTCAAAAGTATTATAATCAGTATTCTCAGAGAACTAAGAGAGTCAAATATGAATTAAGAGAAAAAAACTCTTAGAAATTAAAATTTTAACCTAAATGCTATATTTACTAGAAAATTCAGAAGATAAAGCAGAGGAAATCATAAAATGAAAAAGGTTGAAAAACCCAAAGGAATAAAAATAAGAAAAAAGAATTGGCAGATCAATCTAGCAGATCAACTATCTAGTTAATAAAGTTGTAGGAAAAGAAGAGAGAAAAAAAGGGGGGAAGACGTTATCAAAGAAAGAATAAAAGAATATTTCCCACAAAGAAAGAGCCTATAAGAAGTCCAAAACAACAAATGAAAAAGGCCTAAACAAGGGTACACCACTGCAAAATTTCAAAACACAGAGGATAAACAAAAGACTCTAAAACTTCTGTAGAGAGGACAAGAGAGAGTGAGCTATTAAAAAGGATAATAAATCAAAATGATAACAGACTTCTCAACTTGAATAACACTGAAAGTCAGAAGCCCAAACAATATCTTTAAAATTCTGAAAGAAAAATCTTTTCCAACCTAAAACTCTGTACTCAGACAAACTATTAATCAAGGGTAAGGGTAAGACATTTTCAGACACAGAGGCCCAAAATTGAATTCCCATGTACCATATTTCAAGAGGCTTCTCAGGCAAAATGAGGTAGTAGGCCACGAAGAAAGAAGACATGAGATCCAAGAATCAGGGGATCCAGAACAAGAATCCCAGAATGAAAACTGTGAAACAGCCAGAAGAGCAACCAGTTCAGAGTACAAGAGGATGGGGGTCTCGAGGAGAAATGTCACCTGCGAAAAAAATTAAATGATAGATTATTTTAATACCTTTTACCATGTAGAAAATAGTACTGAAGGGCTTTATAGATGTTTTTGAAAAGACTTAGTAATAGGTAAATAGAAAACTAAGAAAGTAAAGAAATGTGACAACTATTAACACTGGGAAAGACAAAGCTACCCAGAAAAAAACAAAAGAAAGAAAAATATGATCACTGTCTTCTATGAGGCTCAGCAATCAAAAAAATGTACATAATTACAATGCAATAGTACACCATAATGATGTAAACACTGAATATGAATAAAAAGGAAAACAGAAAGATGGAAGAGGACACGTTTAAGAAAACGGGTACCTAACAACTAAATCTTTCTCTACCGTACTGAGAAGTCAGTAGATAATATTTAAAATTAACAAATCTTACTTCTGCATTTGAAGAAAAAGGAAAACTAAAATTAACAAATGAAGAATTAGCAGTGCAAGCATATAAAAGAGAAATATGGATATAAATACCAGAAAGAAATTAACAGCACAAATGCTGAAATCAGTTGCACCTAAAAAGCAAGACAGATGAGATTTAAAGGGGTCAGGAGAAGAGTATTCTTTCTCACTATAAACTTCACAGTACCATTGACTTTAGTTGTGTACAAGTATAACTTTCACAAAAATAAAACTTAGCATTTAAAAACTACTTAACTTTGGGCCAGCCCATGACTCACTTGGGAGACTGTGGTGCTCATAACAACAAAGCCACAGGGTTCGGATCCCTATATAGGGATGGCCGGTTTGCTCACTTGGGAGAGCGTGGTGCTGACAAGACCAAGTCAAAGGTTAAGATCCCCTTACCAGTCATCTTAAAAAAAAAAAAAAAACACTACTTAACTTCAAATCCAAGTTGTAACTTTCTCAGTAGAAGAATACAGGAAATGTTTTGTATGTAGATTTTTACTTTTATAAAAGAAAGCCCACAAAGCATCTAAAACATTGAGTAAGCAAGAAATATAAAGAGAAATAAAATCTACTTGATTTTTAGAAATCTATCATTCTTCTAAAGACGAGCAGGAATATAGTTAACTACAAATTTTTTTTTTTCCTTTTTGTCTTTTTTCGTGACCGGTAACGGAATCGCAACCCTCGGTGTCGCGCCCACACCGCGCTCAACCAGTGAGTGGACCGGTCTCTATATGGGATCTGAACCCTCAGCGGGAGTGCCACCGCGCTCCCAAGCGCCGCACTCTACCGAGTGCGCCACTGGGCCAGCCCTAGAAATTTTAACTTTCCATAGCTATACTCTTCCAAACAAAGTATAACTTTATTTTCTTTATGGGTCAGAGAAACTTAAGTAGTCTGAAGATGTGGAAGACACATGGCAATCATTTTTAGGTCAAGCCAAAAGCACCTTTCAGCACTGTACTTTTATATGAACTTTCATCCAGAAAGCTGTCTGCTCATCTCACAAAATGAATCCGGGCCAACTGGTTTCCCTGTACCTAGACAAGCTCTGCAATTCAGAGTATTTTTGCCAATATAAAGTTCTGACTATATATACTAAAGGTAAAAAAGGCCTTTAAAACAAATCAACTAAATAAACTAAGTCCACTTCTCAGCAAGTCACACAAGAAAGGTCTTCTTTCATTCAACAAAAGACAGACTGAGCTTCTTCCACAAGTGGGAGGAGGGGGTTTGGACACAGAAGACAAAAACAATTACCCTCTTAATGAACGTTTGCCTAGTCTGAGTAATGATGTCCACTGTAGACAAGGGGACAAGGAGCATCCAGAGTAAAGAAACAAAATTTCAAGTCAGATCTTCTAGCATAATTTCAATATGTTTTACATATTAAAATATTGCAAAACACAGCAGTTCTACCAACATTCCAATGAATAAGAAACAACACGCTCTCTAAAATTAAAATACATGTTGATTATCTATAATAATCTCTAATACAGAAAATGAAGAACCATCTTCAGTGCCAGAAAATGAGCAAAGAAATGTCTTACCTTGTTTAATTTTGAGCAACATGATCTAGCATTAATGTAATCACATTCTAAATCAGACAATGTAATTATCTGATGATCAAGATAAGGAATTATTACATTTCTTTTATATTTCTTTTAAAACAACTATGTATTTAAGATTCAGAAAGCAATCCCAGTTGCAAGACAGAATTAGATTTGACTTGAAAAAAATTCAGTTAGTTCCTTAAAGTTCACTCATCAAACAATTCAATTTCCTTATTTATGTTCCTTCTACAAATTATTTTCACAAAGTAATCCTCTTATTATGCTCAAATCTAATCTGACCCATACCAAAACTTTTAGTCTGAGTTCCTCAAATGTGGAACATTGGCTATATAAGAAATGGAAAACCTATAAAAATATTTTAAATGTTAAAAATCTGGTTAGAAAAATAGTATTTACTTATGATATATCCACAAAATGTCTTTGAAGACTGAAGATGCGAATAAAGAAAACCAGATACAAAACTATCACCACTACTACTGTCACATGTTGACAGTAGAATGTCTCAAAAGTTGGATTACAGATGATTTTTTTTTCCTTAATACTTTTCTCTATTTTCCAAACTCTCCAAACTGAAACAAATATTGGAACTCGGCAAAAAATGATTTTTACGGGCCAGCCCCATGGTGCACTCGGGAGAGTGCAGCGCTGGGAGCACAGCTGCGCTCCCGCCGCGGGTTCAGATCCTATATAGGGATGGCCGGTGCGCTCACTGGCTGAGCGCGGTGTGGGCAACACCACACCAAGGGTTGCGATCCCCTTACCAGTCACAAAAAAGACAAAAAAAAAATGTTTTTTAGTACAAAGTATAAACTCACAAATAAAACCTGAGAGACAGAAGGACATAAAGGGAAAGGTCCTCAATTGAACAGTATATTATCTGGGATTTATTTTAAAACGTTCCACCATACTCTCCCCAATAGTTAAGAGAGATGAAAACTGATGAAAATCACTGAAGGTGAATGATAGAAACATGGGACTTATTACACAATTCTCTCTACTTTTGTTCGTTTGAAAATGTCCATTAAAACTAGTAAAAAGAAATGTTCTCAACTAAATACTAAACATTCCTCCTATCACCTCCTAAGTCAAATTCATTACTTTCTCCACAAATTGCTCCTCTTCCAATTTGTTTTATTTCCGTCAATGACACAAACATCATTTGCCCAGGCTCAGATTAGGGAAAGCTACCTCTCTGCCTTCTGTTTCCTATCTTGTAATCAATCATTACCAAGTCCTGGCAATCATTTCTTCCTAATATCAGTCATGTTATTCCCTCTTTTCACCTGCCCACAATCAGCACTCTGTTTCAAAATCTATCCCCTATGGCTTATCTTCCGGTCTTTCCTATTTCTTATCCCTTATGGTTTATCTTCCAATCTTTCCTATTTCCAATCCACTCTCCTGATTCACCTTCCTAATATACCACTTTGGGTTTTTTTTTTTTTTTTTAATTTGTTTAATTGACAAACAAAAATGTATTTTTCACATACAACATGATGTTTTGAAGAATATATACATTGTGGAATGACTAAATCTAGCTAATATATGCATTACCTCACATCATTTCTGTAGTGAGCACATTTTATATGCCCTCTCACAGTATTTTTCAAAAATACAATATATTGTTAACTATAGTCACCATGTTGTACTATAGCTATCTTTCTCATGTCAAAGATCTCTAATTTATTTCTCGTAACTGAAATTTTGCATCCTTTGACCAAAAACCACTTTATTTCAAAAATATTCAACAGCTCCCTATTTTATCCTGCTAACAGCAGTATAAAAAGTGAAAGCTCTCCCTCTTCGCCCTTAACATTCAAGCCTTCCAAAATCTGACCTAATCCTGCCTTTCCAATCTAACTTTGTTCTATCGCCAAAAATCAACCATGTTCTCCAGATTCCTTAACTTTGTCACCCAGAAATACCATGAATATACCTAGCTCTGCACCTTTGCTCTTGCCAGTGTCTGATTTTGAATTTCCACTGCATTCCCTCTCTATAGGTTTTGTTCACCATTCGAAGTCCAGGAGAACTCCTATACCCTACATGAAGTCTACCCTGTCCATTTTTTACCTCTTACCTCTAATACTAAGCACAACTATCCTAAAATGCAGTAATACAATATGGTGGATTTCATCGAAACACATCCCAACTGTACCTTAATGTCTATCAACGTCAAACACCCTATCTAACATTTTCTCACATACATAAATTGGTGTAAGCCAAAGTTATTTTAAATTATCAAGCCAGTTTTCCAAACTACAAAAAAAGAAAAAGAAACCCAGATTCATTTCTGAGTGTAAACTACAGTTCCTTTTTTTCACAAGAGGAACATAAGTCATTAAAACTTAGGCAAGTGATGCTGCCGTTTCAGTCAGCTCCCCAAAGCTAACAAACTCGGGGCTGTTCTCATTAGAACTCATCAAAGTAAAACCTGCTCCTCAATCGAGGCAGGTGGGGGCGGGAAGTCAGAGCCATATTTACCAACATTAGCTAGGGGGCAGTTGCTAGGGGGCAGGCACCCATGTTCTCATTGTACCTATGTAGGAAATAAACATTTCCCATTTTAAAGATAACAAAACTGAAGCTTAGAAAGGGGGAGTAACGTACACAGCAAATAACTAGCTTAGCAGGGAGTCCTGATCCCAAATTTTGTCCTTTTCCACTACAACAGACAGCTTGTCCAAAATACAACATGAAGTCACATTGGAACCATACTCTGTACGACTACCCTAAAGCCAGCATGCTCTAGCAAACAAAAAGTTTTATCGATCAGAAAGGGGTACATGTGATTTCCAAGGAAAGAAGATAAAATGCAGAGTTCCTCATGCGCTTTTCCTATCTCACACTTAATTACTTCAAACTGGATTGTGCGTTACAACATTGGGCAACAACTAAGACAAGTTCCCGCAAAAGGCTACTATAGTGTTAGGTTCAGCAACCATTTACTGGTCTGGAAAATAGTCCAATACTCTAACATGAATAGCTACATAAAATACTGAAGTTTTAATATGAGCCGACGCAGAAAAATTTAAAAGTTGAGAAAAGACTGGGAACTACATCACGTGTAGTTACTGAACTTACAAATCTGCAATCGCCAGGGGCAACCAAAATCCTCACTTTGCCGATAGTTTTGTAAACTCCCTCCCCACACACACTACAGAACAGCACCGCGAGGGAAGCGCTCGGCCCGCTCCTGGCGTGAGCCGACTCCGGGTGCAAGGGTCCCCACGGGCACCAGCACCGCGGGACAAAGCGGCGGGCGCGGCTGCCCGCGGACGAGGGCGGCCCAGGGCCTCCGCCCGCCCCGGCGACCGCCCGGGACCCTCAGCGCGGGTCTCTGGGAAATCCGCTACCCTTGGCTCCCGAACGCCGGAAGGGAGGC